GCCCTGGGGGTTCAGGGAGTGCTCTGTGGTGTGAGCTGTCTCCTGTCTCCCTTGGCAGCCCGCAAGCTGCAGCAGCAGCGAGCCCTTCTGTTGGAGGAGGAGGCCGAGGAGGAGGAGGAGGAGGTGAGGCAGGTGCCCGAGGCCGTGCAGTCCAGCATCATCATCGAGGGGGTCGAGTACAAGGTCGAGAGGCTGAATGGAAGGAGCATCCAGGCTCCAGCAGCTCGGTAAGACAGGACTACAGGTAGCTCTGTACCACCTACACGTGTCAGAGGCATCCCAGGAATTCTCAAGGAAGAGAGTGGGCCGGATTTCTCCTTCAGCACAGAAAGGGACAACTTCCCAGCTCTGTCTTTTCAGGGAACTGCTCCTTCAGCTATGCCAGAGGGTGTGTAGAGAGGTTGATTTTTAGAGACAGATGATTCAAGATAAGCTGAATGCTGAACCAAGTTGGGGGTTTTTTAGGCTTTTGTTTCCCAGTTCTCTGGGGCTTGGCCTCCACATTGTCTTGAAGGTATTTTTCTAATTCTTGGGCACAGAACTGAGGAATGAGAAAAGGGTTCTCAAAGGCTCCAGGTAAAATAAGGCTGCACTAGAGTGAAGCTGAAGCTGTCCTTATCTCTCTTTGGAGTCTTTGGAACAGACATTCTCCTCTCCACAAACACTTCCCAGTCACAGTGGCTGAACACATTGACCCTGGGACGTGGAATCTCATTTCTCTCTGTTGTTTCTGCCCAGTCTCAGTTCAGGAACTTCTCACACGATGATGTCATGAGACTTCCCCCTCCTGTGCTGAGGCATGATGTGCTGCTCCTTGGTTTTTTGGGAAGTCCCACTTACCCCCCCGTTTTCATATTGAAACGTAGGAGGCCAAAGTACAGGAAGGCTGGATCCATCAGATGATTTTCAGTTGCTTATTATTTACGCTTGAATATGGGGGAGACAGTGGAAGAGGCTGAATTTGTGTTTCTTGAAATAATTTTTCTCATGGTAGAACAGAAACTGAAATTTAACCAAAATAAACTTGAGCAGTAAAAATCAGGGCTGAGTGTCACGATAAACTGAACGCCCCCAGCTCTACCAGCCTGGCTCCAGAGCAGAGGGGTTCCAGCTCTCAGAGCAGCTCTGTGGCCCATCTCATGGAAGAATTTAAAATATATCAAATCTGTCTGTTAATGAAGGTATAGAATCAGGATCAGGTGACCAGTGCTTCCAAGGTGAATCTCTCTTGGACTCCTCTGTTTGGAATACCTTTGTGCCACATCTTACAAAGCCAAGTGTGAAGTCCAAGCTCCCAGGACTTAAGGGAGAGATCCAGAGGAAAAGAAAGCCCAACAAATATTTTTATTAAAAAAACTGAGGCAAAAATTCTGTGTGTGTCTGTTAGTGGCTGGCTGACCTCCAGCTGCAGGAAATGAGCTCTGATGTTAGTGTGGACATTTAGTAGGAGATCCCCATGGGAATGCTCACAGCAATGGTGGAGGAGCTGCTGAGCAAAGCCATGGAGGGCTGTGACTTCGCCCTGAGCCATTTGTTGCTTTCTGGGGGTGGACCTGTCCCACCCTCTCTAGGTGTGCAGCCTGTGGTGCTGCAGCTCACAGGGTTGTTTTCTCCAGGCCCTCAGAGCTCAGTGAGAACAGCAGCTTGCAGAGGAATTCTCTGGAAGAGGGGATCAAGCCTGAGCAGAGAACCAACTCCATGTCAGGGTGAGTGGGGCTGCTGGGGCAGGGACTGGATAGTTCCTGCTTTTTAGCAGCCAGAGGCTGCAAAGGAAGGATTTGTTGGAGAGAGGGAAACTGATTGGGACCAACTTCATAGAATCCCAGGATGGGTTGGGTTGGGTTGGAGAGATCTTCAAGACCACCTGGTTCCAGCCCCATGTGGGGATTGCCAAGGGCAGTTGGTCCAAGCCCCATCTAACCTGAAACTCCTCATGAGAAACTCCCGTGTGTCCTGTGTCCTCCCAGGGTGATACCCGTGGATGTGGCACCGAACAGGTGATTGGGGTGTCACTCGCAGGCAGGTGAGCTGTGTGGACTCTGCCACCCTCCCTCTCACCCCTCCTCTCCCTGCCCAGGCTGAGCCCATCGTTCCCGGGGGATCCCGGCGCTCCGGTGCGGACGGCCAAGGCCGAGCGGCGGCACCAGGAGCGGCTGCGCATGCAGAGCCCGGAGCTGCTGAGCGGGCAGGAGAAGGAGAAGGAGCTGTCTCCAGCGGAGCGCCGGGCACTGGAGGCTGAGAAACGGGCTATGTGGAGGGCAGCACGGTGAGCCATAGCCTCCACTGCCTCTGCGCCGGGCTGAGCACAGAGCGGGAGCTGCTGCGTGTCTGGGGCTTGCGGGGAACAAAACTAGGGAATAGAGGACCCTTCCAAAGGCAGGGCTTACGGGGGCTTACGGGGAACAAAACTAGGGAATAGAGGACCCTTCCAAAGGCAGGGCTTACGGGGAACAAAACTAGGGAATAGAGGACCCTTCCAAAGGCAGGGCTTGCGGGGAACAAAACTAGGGAATAGAGGACCCTTCCAAAGGCAGGGCTTACGGGGGCTTATGGGGAACAAAACTAGGGAGTAGAGGACCCTTCCAAAGGCAGGTGTTCAGGGAGGTTATGAAGGATCAGTTCAAGCCATGCAAAGCACCCGCTGAGCTGAGCTGAGCTTGTCTGCTTCCAGGGGGCTCCCAGATTCCCAGAGTGCTTGCACGTTCGTGGACACAGGGGAGTTCATGACAAACATGAACACACCTGTGAACGATGGTGGGCGTGTTCCTTCCCTCAGCACACAATTCCCACCTCCCGTGTCACCCGTGTGCAGTCGTGTTATTGAAGCTGCAAGGTCACATATTCAAAATGAAAAATGGGATTCCACATATCCAGTGGTGCTGGGCTGGAAAACTTGCTGCAGCCAAAGCATTGGTAGGATGAGGCCATTTTTACCCCCACAAGCTATTCCATCAGCATGAAAGAGTGATTAAAAATTCTTCTGGAAGAAAGAGAACTTCCTAGCTCAGAACCTAAGACTTGAAGCTAGTCCAGGCATTTACTATGTCATAGAATTCCTTCCAAAGATTAGTCAGGCTGCTCCCATAACTAACAATAGTTTTCTTCCCCTGATGTTCCTGTAGGAGACATTCAAAGGACAGTCTGAACTGTCTTTTGGGGTTGGATGAGGCTTGAAGAGGAACAGGGCTGCTAGATAAGATACTGGAAGGATAACCATGAGTTGTGATTCCACTTAGCAGTTCCAGTGTTTGTGCTTAGACATGGATGATCACAGGGCTGTTGCTGCTGGGGAGGCTCCAGGAATGGAGAAGTGCCAAGTGAATCCTCAGTCAGAGCTGGACTGCTGTTCCAGGGCTTTGAGGGTACAAGCTTCTCTGTGCAAATTTTCTTTGAGATCAGTTTTCATAGAATCCCAAGATGGTTTAGGTGGGAAGTGACCTTCAAGACCACCCAGTCCCACCACCTGCCACGGGCAGGGACACCTTCCACTACCCCAGGTTGCTCCAAGCCCCGTCCAACCTGGCCTGGAACACTTGCAGGGATGGGGCAGCCACAGCTTCTCTGGGCAACCTGTGCCAGGGCCTCACCCCCTCACAGGGAACAATTTCTTCCCGGTATCCCACCTAACCCTGCCCTCTGTCAGTGGGAAGCCCTTCCCCTTTGTCCTGTCACTCCAGGTCCTTGTCCTCCAGCTCTCTTGGAGCCTCTTTAGGGACTGTCCTGCTCTGTCGTATCCTTCCTTATGAGGTTGCAGAGACCACCAAGTCCCTTGTGCTGCAGGTGCTCCAAGAGGGCTGGAATCACACATCTGTCTCCGGGAAGGCTGTGAGTGTGGAATGGTGCCAAAAGCAGCCATCAGTGTGATGCTGTGCGAGCACCACAGTGTCCCCAGGAGCAGACAACCTGCACAGAATTGTACTCAGTCTTTGGACCTAAGAAAAAAGCTTCACTCTTGTATTTAAGCCAACAAATCAGAAACTGCCTGTCAAGCTTCTCCTGGAAATCCACATCCCTGTGCTTGGAGAGGGGTAGGGCCTGATTTGCCATCTCTTCCCAGGAAGACTTGCAGGAGTTTCACTCCCTTGTGCCTCCATTTCCCAGGTGCATTCCCCACACGAAGGGGCAGCTTTTGTGAGGTCTGTCAGCTCTGATTTGTGCCTAAGCATGAACATATCCAAGGAATGCTGTAATAGAAGCTTTTTTTTGAGATGGGTGTCAAAAGGAGAAACAGGACGTTGCCTGCACAGACCTCTGGAAGCAGAGTCCCTGCAGGGACACTGCTCATGTCCCAGGTGTGCAGCTCTGATCTTGGGACTCTGCTCTTCCAGGAACTTGGTGTTGCCAGCAGATAAACCTGAAAAATGCTGGGAGGGGGCAGGATGGTTTTAGGACACGATTTGCTCCTGTAACATTACTGTCCATCTGACCGTGCTCTTGGGCCAGCTGGGATTTGGCTGGAATTGCTCAGGGTGCAGGAGAAGTTCCACGTGACACTGTAGGAGGGTTAGTGAGTGTGGAGCACCAAGGGTGCACCTGTGGGCAGGGGAGAGATCTCTCATCCCAAGCCTTCAGTCTCTTCTCTTCTAAGCATGTTTTGTCTGTTGAAAAAACAGGCTAGCAAAGGTGGAGCCTTCCAGAGGTGGGAATACCTGGTAAGGACGAGCTGCTTGAGCTGTGAGGTCCTACATTACTGGGTTTAAGTTCTGCAGACCAGGACCTAAGCTCTGCTTTGCTTCTGATGCCGAGGTGCAGCTTTTTGTGCAGTTCTTGGAGAAGTGCCTGGCTGATGCCTTGGGCAGGGATCAGTCAGTCACCATAACGTGCTCCTTTTTGTAAGACAAGGAGGGACAGGTCTCGTAGGTGGATCCAGTAGTCTCATGGTCCCTCTTCCCTGGCTGTGGAGCAGGCACAGTGCCATGAGGGCAGGCAGGCTCAGGTCCTGCCTCCAGAGGCCCCTGTGCTGTGGGGGGGGGTTCTGCACAGCCCCGCACACGGGGCTCAGCCCCACTAACCCATGTTCTCTCCAACTGCCGCAGGGTTTGTTCCTCCTTTTCTAATCTCCTGTCTTCTGCTTCTTTCCAGTTCTCTGCTCTGTGCTGTCAATCATGACCCCATCAGTTTGCACCTTCTTGGGCTTTCCCTGTTCTCCCTGTGTCATCAGTGCTCTGCCAGGATGTGTGATGCCCCTCCTTTTCCCCCTGGCACCCCTGTGCTCTGTTGGGACACACCCAGAGACCCGTGTTACACACCCGTTGTGGGCACACACAGCCCCTGGCATAGAGTCATGGAATGGTTTGGTTTGGAAAGGACCTTAAAGCTGATCTGGTTCCACCCCTCTGCCATGGGCAGGGACACCTCCCACTAGCCCAGGTTGCTCCAAGCCCCGTCCAGACCTGGCCTTGGACACTTCCAGGGATGGGGCAGCCGCAGCTTCTCTGGGCAACTTGTGCCAGGGCCTCCCCACCCTCACCGAGATTTTCTTCTCAATATCCCATCTAACCCTGCCCTCTTTCAGTGGGAATTCATTCCCCCTTGTCCTGGCACTCCAGGCCCTGGAGCCATGGGAACAGTGAGGTCCAGAGGCACAGGTACAAGCTGAGGGGCAGGTGCCTAGCCAGGGCTATGAGCATTTTGGCAGTTTTCCTCCCACACACACACTGGTTTAGGGACTCTCACCCCTCAGTGACACGTGTCCCAGGGCAAACACCATGTGTCACGTGCTTAGCCATATTGTTCCTCTTTTCTATGGTCCAACAAAGGTGCCTGGAACAGGTGATCAGGTACCTGTGCAGGTGTACACTGAGAGACCGTCCCGTGTGTGGCACACACCCTCCCCTGCCCACACCCCTCAGTCTGACACACTCACACACTCTGTGACTGCCTCACAGCCCTTCCCGGGGGTCTGAAGGTGTTCCCAGTCTCCTCCCAGCCCGGGGGGAGGGCAGCTCTAGATGTGGGGCTTCTGAGCCTGATGCTCCTGGGCATGCTGCCAGATTGCCCCTGGGGGTTCCTGCTGCCTTGACAGTGGCCAAGGTTGAGCAGGATCAGTTTAACCAAGGCTGCCCTTGTGTCAGACCCATATTTCCCCTCACCAGGGTATGTTCCTGTATCTGTTTCTTTCTTTCCCTGCGCTTGTCCGCTGCGATGTTCATCACCATCATCTCCTCTTCCTCCTCTTCCTTTTCCTCCTCCTCTTCCTTCTCCTCCTCCTCCTCCTCCTCAGATCCTCAGCTCTTGAAGACAGTATTAAACAGTACGAGCAGGATCTGGCCAGGAAGCTGTACCAGTCCCGGCAGTGGGCATCTGCTCCCGGGGCCAGGCCAGCTCAGATGTCTAGCCCAGTGCAGAGTCACGCCTCAAGAATCCCTGGGTCAGGAGGCCAATCCAGGTGTGCACAGCCCCCTCCCCACAGCTGCATGCTCCTGTCCGTGCCCCTGCGCCCCAGCTGGGGCTTCCTGGGGCAGAAGGACATGGGAGTGGTCCCTGGTGTCCATTGCCCAGAGAATGAGGGGGGATGTTGGGGCCGTCTGATGGGGAGAAGGGTGCAGACGTCTCTGAGAATCGCAGACTGGTTTGGGTTGGAGGGACCTTAAAGATATCTTGGTCCACCCCCTGCTATGGGCTGGGGCACCTTCTACCAGACCAGGTTGCTCAGGGTCCCATGCAGCCTGGCCTTTCATGATCTCCTGATGGCTGAGGAGGGTTAAGATGCAACACACTGAGCACAGAGGACAATAAAGCCCCGAGGACTGACCCTACCTGTGTGATCCCTGCAGTTCTGTCCCCAGCTCAGGTCACTGTCCCATCATGTGGCACCTCTGGGAGTGCCTGCAGCTTCTCAGTGCCTTGATGCATAGCTTCATGCTCTGTCTGTTTGACACATGGGTAACGTGTGTTTTGGGATGGCAGCCAGCCCAGCTGTCCTCCTGCCCTGCCTCGGGGACCCTCGGGGGCTTCGTTCCGCCCGTCTGCGCTCAGCCCGTGGGCTCGGGCCGGCTCCTGGGTGCAGACGGCGCGTGGTCCCCCACCGAGGGGGCAATGGCTGATGGTTTTTTCTCACCCCCCCCATTCCTGAGGCAGGATGAAATCACTGGAACAGGACGCTCTTAAAGCCCAAATGGTTATTGCCAAGTCCAAGGAGGGGAAGAAACGCAGCACACTGGAGCAGCTGGCAGAGTCACCGTCGCCCGCTCCGACGCCGTCCCCAACGCCGCTGGAAGGTACTGTAGAGCTGCCAGCGCCTCCAAAGGAAACAGGCAGCGCTCCTTGAGCTTAACCTGCTCAGGAGCAGAGCTGCAGGAAGCAATTCCCTCCTTCAGCCTGGTTGGAAGGTCCTTGGGGGCATGTGATGTCTCTCAGCGTAGGGAATGGGCCTGAGCTGTAGAACATATGAGAGCACCTGAGGCAGAGGTGAGGTTCCAGGGAACCAGGGCGGAAACACAGTCAGCATCCTGACTTTCTGAACAAGCAGGGAAGAGGTGTTTGTTGGGAAGGCAGAAGGCAGGGCCTGCCCTGAGTGTGGTCTCACCACACTGAAATGCTGCTGAGTGGAAGGAGCAGGCTCGGCGGGGGGGGGTTGGATGTCACACAGCTGGTCACTAACTGTGCTTTTCTGTCACCTCTTGCAGATTGCAGCCCCAGGAACGTCACTTCCCCGGGAAGGCTGGTATGACGTCCTTCTGCTTGCTTTTGTCACCTCACCTTACCTAAATGCTGGGATTTCCTGATTATTCGGCTGAGTGTGGGCTGTGCCTTGGGCTGTGGGTTCCCACTTGAGCCAGTCCTGCATGGTACAAGGAATGCTGCGGAGGGTGGAGGGTGGAGCTGTACCCCTGGCTAGAGGCACCGCCTTTGTTGCAGCTCCCATGTTCTGCTTTCTCTTTCCCCATTGTATTATGTCATCTGTTCCTTGGTTCTTCACCTCCATGTTTAGAAAGCTTTTCACCATAGTCAGAAAGCCTTTCCCTGGGTTCAGAAAGCCTTTCCTCATGCTCAGAAAGCCCTTCCTTGGTTTCAGAAAGCCTTTCACCACGGTCCTAAAGCTTTTCCCCTTTTCAGAAGGCCTTTCCCCATGTTCAGAACTACTTTCCCAGGTCCAGAAAGCCTTTCACTTCAGGGACTTTGCCCTGTGTTTCTTCAACAGCATAAAACAGACCTTACAGACCTGCAACTGCAATTAGCATTTTCCTTTTCCTAACCCTCTGTAAATGCCAGGGGACGTTGTTGCACAGAACTGTCAGAATCAGTGAGACAGACCAGGGAAAGCGTGGCAGCAGCTGCACAGAGGGGACCTGGTCCTGCCAGATCACACCATAATCTAGCCCTGGATTGGAACCCTGACTGTGCTCCAGCTGTCAGGAATTCTACCATGAATTTCCCAATGAAAATAGGTTTCCTACCTGACTTGATGTGCATGAGCATTTCACTGGAGCATGTGATGTTTCCTCTGTGACTTGGAACCCCTGTCCTGACAATGGAACAGCTCCAAAGGCAGTGTCCCAGGGATACCCCATGTTCCAGGCTCTCCCCGAGGATATCCTTCTGCTTCTGCTGTGATCTCTGCATAGATTGCTCAGCTTGCTGCTGCTTCTCCCTTCATTTCTCTTCCCTTACTTTCTTCTCTGTTTCTTCCCTTCTACTGTCCCTTCTAGTCCATGTCTGAAAAGAAGTTTGACTACCGGGAATTTGCTGCTATTCCTTCCTCCAAACCTGTTTACGAAATCCAGGTATAAACTGCATGCTGAGCCACCTTTAGATTGGTTAGGGCTTGGTTTGATGGAAGAGTTGAGTCTGAGGGCTTTGGAGAAACCCCTTGCCTGTGTGGGGGCAGTGACACCAGCCTTGGTAAAATCTGAGGGTTTATTGGAGGCTTCAGACAAGGGGAATTGGAAAAAAGTTGGTCTAGATGGTTTTAAAATGAATGACAAAAGCTTTGCAGATATAAAGCAGCTGCATCTTCACCTGAATGTGTCCTGAAATATTTTTAAGTGAAAAGTGAGAACTAAAAGGGAAGAAAAAGCTATAAAATTATTGCCACCAGAAGGCAAATTGGAGCAGTTGTGAAATTCCAGCTGGATGTGTCTGGCATCCTGCCCAGGAAGCAGCAAGGTGTCAGTTCTCATGTTCTGCTGTCCGTGAGCTGTGGAGGGAACACCCAGTTCCAAGGGTGAGCACCATGGCCAGGTGCTTCTCCTTCCTAAAATGAGCTCATTTAAGCTGCTTTGTCACAGAATCCCAGCTGGAACCACTCACCCAGTGCTGGAAGCTATAATTGCCTGTGTCAGCCAGTCACTGATGGCATTTGTGACACCTGATTTGAGCAGATACCCTGTGTCTAAATGTTTTTAGGTGGTTTTTAGCTTTATATAAAGACAGTGAAGCAGATACTTGTGTGTGGAGAGCCAGCAAGCACTGCCACTTGGGCTTCAGCTTGCCGTGGGGACCAAAGATTGTTGTTCCCAAGTCAGGCTGGCTCCAGCAGGGCTGTGATTTGAGAATTCTCAGGCAGTTTTACATGATTTGATGTCTGTTCTTCACTGGCACCTCTCTCTGGTGGTATTGCTCAGCCCTTGGAAGACACTCATCTTTTCCTCAGTTCCTTCCTTTGGGATGTGCCCTTCTCCAGGTTCTGTACCAGGCAAGTTGGAGGACTGGCTGCTCGAACCCTGTGGCAGCTCCAGACCACATGAATTACCCCAAGTGCAACAGTGGGTCTTCATACAGCTGAGAAGGTGCCTCCAAAGGAGGCTGCACCTCCAAATCCTCAAACAGTGCCTGTGGGCCTCTCTCAGCAGTGCAGGAGTTCACAGAATCCCAGAATGTTTTGGGTTTGGAGGGACTTTAAAGCTCTTCTCATTCCACCCCCCTGCCATAGGCAGGGACACCTTACATTAGCCCAGGCTGCTCCAAGCCCTGTCCAATCTGGCCTGGAACACTTCTGGGGCAGCCACAGCTTCTCTGGGCAACCTGTGCCAGGGCCTCTCCACCCTCAAAAGGAAGGATTTCTCCCTCATATCCAATATAAATCTCTCCTCTTTCAGCTTAAAGCCTTTTTGTCCATTCTTTATATTTTCTGTCTTCTGTGTCACTCCCTCTTCTCCCTACACACAGGTCAGGCAGCAGGGTTCATTTGGAATCAGGAGCACAAGGAGTTCATTTGGAATCAGGAGCACAAGGGGTTCATTTGGAATCAGGAGCACAAGGGGTTCATTTGGAATCAGGAGCACAGGGGGTTCATTTGGAATCAGGAGCACAAGGGGTTCATTTGGAATCAGGAGCACAAGGGGTTCATTTGGAATCAGGAGCACAGGGGGTTCATTTGGAATCAGGAGCACAAGGGGTTCATTTGGAATCAGGAGCACAAGGGGTTCATTTGGAATCAGGAGCCCTCTCTGAGGGCCGTGCCCCAGCTTTGGCAGCACCAGCACCTCTGTGGGCAGCAGGTTCTCCATAGGGTGTTGGAAGGCTGGAGGTGGGGAATTACCTGGCAGAGGTGTTACAGGGGCGGATGATCACGTTTGCTGTTCTCTTCCAGTCGCCTGATGCAGCTGATGACCTCAGATACGTCGAGGACCGAAATAATTCAGGTAAGCCCATGGCCAGAGGAGTTGTCTCTGTACTACTCGCTCCCCACCACGGTTCTAGAGGGTTCCCCTTTGCTTGTGGGACCACCCAGAAGACTTCACCTTCTTCTGCTTGACACAATGTCCTGTTTTGTCTGTTCTAGAATGAAAAGTCCACACTCACCACATTCATTTTGGGTAGGATATTTGCATTGTGCTTTAGTGATGACTAATTTGCCCAGCATGGTGTGTAACAAGCATGCCTGGTTTTCTCCAGATTTGTGTCCTGGAGTAGAGTGGTAGTAGGATGTGGCGGGGAAGTTTTGGGCTCTGTCACCTGCTGGAGGTGAATGATGTCCATTGTTCAGGGGCTGCCTTGTGCCCCTTCTGCTGGAGAGGGAATCATGGAGGTCAGTCCGTCCTGGTGCAGACTTGGAGTGCTTGCTGCTCCAGTACCTCGGTGGCTCCAAGTTACACCTGTGGGTCTGTGGCATAGTCACCTCAGTCAGCAGGAATTAAAGCTCTGCAGCTGTATTTGCAGGCTGTCCAGCTGGGGTGTGTCTGTCTGTCCTCAGCTGTAAGGACAGGTCAGACTGTCCCCTGGTTCATTCCAGGGGCTGTAGCAGCCCTGTGGAGCTCAGCAGAGCCTGCCTGCTCCGTAGGAGCACTCCTGTTTCTCCAACAGTTGGTGCTGGTTTGCTTCTACCTGTTTTGCAGATTTTCCCCCTTTATTTGGCACAAGAAACAGTTTCTTCTATCTTGACAATTCCTTCTGAGTACAGGCTGCACCCTGGACAGCTGACCTATGGCTGGGCTGTTTCCAGAAGGTTCTGCTGCAGGACTTAACAAAAACTTACTTTCCTGAGAACAGCAGCTGTTCTCCATCCCTCAGAGTCATCCTCTCAGCCCTGGATTATTCTCTTGAGGTTGTCCATTCAGTCAGTGCAGGGAATTGGGAGCTCATGGTAGGTTTGGAAAATACCAGGCATTGCTCAGGGCCTTCAGACCTCACTGTTGCCTGACACTGCTCTGTTGGGCCCTCAAATAGGGTGAAAGCCAGGAAGAAAAGAGTATGGTGCTCACTGAGAGTTTTTTAACCTGGTCCTTAGTCCTTAAGTAATATTTAAGTCACCTGTGATATGTGTGAGGCACCAAACAAATGCAAGCTTTTCCAACTCAGCTGGCAAGGATGGCAGGTGAGGATGCAAGTAAACTCTTGGGACAAAGCTCTCCTGTTTTTTTTTAAATCTCCCCACCCCATCTCACTCTTCTAGGCAGTGCAGCATCCCAGCCAACATAAATCAGAATTGTTCTTGATCATGGAATTATGGCTTTTTGACTCATAGCAAGTCTTAAACTTTGCCAGTGTCTACAGAAAGCTCTCCCAGTGCCTAGAGAACCATCATCTCATTTAAGGATAGTGCATTTTTTTATGCAGTCAGGATTCTATTCCTTTTATTGAGTTTAAACATCATCCAGTACTGTAAAACTGAACTTACTGAGTCAGCACAAGGCTCTGCCTGATCCTGTAGCAGATCTGGGGTCCAGTGGGAGCCACTGGGAATGCCAGAAAAGGACATAAAAGAAGAAAAGCAGGAAGTGGTTCTTTCCAGACCTGCTCCAGGCTGCAGTGATCGGTGGGTTTGCACTTTCTAAGCCAGAGGCTTTGACTTTAGAGTTCTTTCTTTCCTGAATCTATTCACATCTGCAGTAAATTTCCCCTTCCACATCATTTCCCCCTGAACTCCATGGATCATGATGCACTTTGTTATTTATAGCTGAGCTTCATTTGACTCCCTGATACAGCTTGGTGGCATCACAAGTTTCTCCCAGCACAGCCTTCATCACTCCTTCTCCTCCTCATTAATTGCCAGATACTGACTCTGGTGGGGTCCTGGCTGCTGGGTGTTGTGGTATCAGGTAGCCCCTTCCTGCCCTTTTCCCATGGTTTCACCACTTCTTTGCCCACCAAAGCTTCCCCATGGCTTGTTTTCAGTAGAGCTTTGCCCGGGGAACAATCCAAGGGTTTTTAAAGCTCCGTGTGCTGCGTGGGGATCACTAAACCTGCATGTTTGGGGGTTCTTTTGGCCAGTTCCAGCCTTGGGGGGTCTGAAAGAACTGACTTCCCTGTAAGCCACAGGATTTTCTTCTCTACCCACCCACCCAGGCTGGATTTTTCCTGCATGTGCCCATGACTTCCTTTTATATCTGTTTGTCTTGTCTGGGAATCAGTCACCTGCTTCCCAACCCCAGTGTCCTGTCAAGGGGTTGGACAGGCTGGGAGAGCTGGAAGTGGTCACTGTGGAGAAGAGAAGGCTCTGAGGAGACCTTAGAGCCTCTTCCAGTGCGTAAAGGGGATCCAAGAGAGCTGGAGAGGGACTTTGGACATGGGCCTGGAGTGCCAGGACAAAGAGGAAGGGCTGCCCACTGACTGGCCTGGCTCTGGAGCAGAGGGTCAGACACTGGGCACAGCTCAGCAGACTGAGCCTTTTATCTGATATATCTTCATGGATTTCTCTATTTAAAGTTCTCTGCTGCATCCAAAGGCTTTAGAGAGGCTTCCCAGGAGCCCATTTGCACTTGAAGCTCATGGATTGTCTATGGGGTTGTCCCTCCAGCAGATATTGGGGTACTTGAAGTCCCTCATGAGGACCAGGGCTTGTTAATATGAGGCTGCTCCCATCTGTCTATGGAGGCCTCATCCACTCAGTCTTCTTGGTCAGGAATGTCATCTGTCCCTTCAGTCCTGACCCATGAGCTCTGGTTGGCTTCTCACCCCTCACCAGGTGCAGTTCCAGCATCCACCTGGGCACTGACATAGTGTGACCCCCACTTCATCTCCCCTGCCTGTCTGTCCCTAAGAGCCTCCAGTGCTCCAGTCACAGGAACCATCCCACGATATCACTGTGACACCAGTAAGTTTAAAGCCCTCCTGACCATCTGGGCCAGTCTGGGACTAAAGATGCTCCTCCCCCTCACTGACAGAGGGACTCACTCACCCCCTGCAGACCTGGGTCGGGGCAGCTCTATGGTCTGGACAGCTCTATGGTCTGGACAGCAGAAGCCTTTCAGGACACTCAGTTTTTCCTAAGGCTTGACTCTTCCAGTCATCTTCCAGTGAATGGCGGGTGTTAGAGGCAGGTGTCTTCTTACTCATGGGACTTTCTTCCCAGGATCCACAGTGGTCACTACATGACCTATACCAGAAAGTTCTGGGCACGAGGTTACTGTGAGTCACTGAGATGTCAGTGCTGTCCCGAATCTAGCACCTGGAAATAACCCTGGAACACTCCCTGGAAGTGCCCAAGGCTAGGCTGGATGGGATGTGGAGCAGCCTGGTCTAGTGGAAGGTGTCCCTGCCCATGGCAGTGGGTGGAAAGAGATGAGCTTTAAGGTCCCTTCCCACCCAAAGCAGTCTGTGATCCTGTGATACCCTAAACATCTGCATTAACTGTGCCAGCTGAGCACTGACAGAACCACAGGATGGTCTGGTTGGGAAAGGACTTTACAGATCACCCAGTCCCACCCCCTTCCCTGAGCTGAGACACCTTCCACTATCCCAGGTTGCTCCAAGCCCTGTTCAACCTGGTCTTGGACACTTCCAGGGATGAGGCAGCCACAGCTTCTCTGGGCAACCTGTGCCAGGGCCTCCCCACCCTCACAGGGAAGGATTCCTTCCCAATATCTATTTTAACCCCATGCTTTCTCTTCAAACCTAAACATCTCTTGTCTTTGCAGTTCCCCGGGAGCAGGATGGGCAGCCAGAGGAAGAGGACACGTTAGGAACACGGGATCCATCAGCACCAACTCCCTCAGCCCTGGAGGACATGGCCCTGTACAGCAGCAAGCGCAAGCTCCGACACAGCCGGCGCAGTCTGGAGACCGCTGTCCCCACGTAGGTGACCCGACACACCCGGGCGATGGACGAGCCCGGCACAGCCCTTCCGAGCTTCCCGTGCTCCAGGGACAGCGCCGGCTGCCACCCTGCCGCCTCCAGACTGGATGGGACCGGAGCACCCCGGGAGCTCTGTGGCCAACTGACTCCTCCGAGGCTGTGAACCACCCTCGTTTCTCACCCGACAGCGCCCTGGGGCACGTCCCGAAAACGGGGCAACACTGGACTGACTGCTGGCAGATGGAGAGGAGGGGTGGGCAGGACAGTGGGCAGCTCGTTAGCCTGTAAATATTGTGTGTGGGGAAGGGTAGGACAGGGAGAATGTAGGAGTGTGAGAGTGTGTTGGGCTCCAGCCGTTACTGCCTCAACTTCGTTTTTTTAGTGGTTAAAAGGAGCTTTTCCTCTGGTGGGAATCAGGAGGAAGGTCCAGCCTGCCTTTACTCCTGTTTAATTTTCAGTTTTTTGCCAAAAAGCATCTCCTCCCACCTCCTGCACTGTGTCACCTCACTTCCCTTTGGGACCGTGTGGGAATGGGAAGCTTGGAGGCAAAAAAAAAAGGAAATACAAAGGAAAAAACACCTGCAGAATTCCAGCAAAGTGCCTCCCTCTGCCACTGACACTCTGTGCTCAAGGAACATGCCAAAGCCTGGGCCAGCTCTGTGCCACCTGCCTGTGTCCTGGTAGGACACTGCTCCTGCTGGGACTCTGTGCAGTCCTGGGGACAGGTCCTTCCCTGGATGGACACGTCGCTGTGTGTCACATGTGGTGTGAGCAGCTCCACGAGCACACACAAGTGTCAGAGGAGGCCAGGCTCTGTCTTCTGTAGCACTGGGGCTGAACTGGTGGACTGGGGCAGGAATGGGACGGAGCCAACAGCTGTAGCAGGGGTTTAGGGGGGGTGTGACAGCAATGGGGAGCAGGATAGTTGGGGTAGGACACGGTGGCAGAGGTGGGAGGTGTGACAGCAGTACCTTAGTGGGTAGGATTCAGAAACTGGGAATGGGTAGGACGTGGCGTTGCTGGGGTCAAGTTGGGAATTACGGGGTCTTACAGGTAGGAAATCTGGTGGGGAGTCCACAGTGTCCATGGCTGGCCGCGAGGTGGAGTGGAGCGTCACAGGGTGCCTGGCATGGGGCTGGCAGGGAGCACCAGGAGCACCACGGAGCAGGACGGGGCTGGCCTGTGCCTTGCAATAACTACACAGTCCCACTTTGCCAGCTTGTTGGCTTCAGGCCCCTTTCCGTGGAGAACAGGGACAATGAATGTTTGCCCATGCAAGAGGGAAAAAGGAAAATGAAAAATGAGCGGGGGTACGAGTCCTGGGTGTGAGTTCTGGTTTCCACATGTGGAACGAGGGCTGTGAGCAGGTTCTGTATCACGTGAGCTCTGCAGATGTGGAGGTCACAGCTGCTGCTCCCAGCTCTGCCATCAACCTCTGCTGCCACTACTGAGGGGAAACAGCCCTTTTCTTTTTTTTTTTTTTTCACTGCCTCTAACTGGGAGGAAGGTCCGAGCTTGGCTCAATCCCATTCCCCGTCCATTGGTGCTCTCTGACTCCCCAGCAAGACCAGGGTTGGACCTTGAGCCTGACAGTGGCTGGGCAGCGACAGGCACATCTGCTTGTACATTTGCTGAAGGAAAGAACTGGATGCAGTTTTTTTGTTGAGCCTCTCCCTTCATGCCAAAATCCAGTGGATCGTTTTAACTGGCACCGTATGCTTTGATTTTACAGATCTGTGAAAGGGGAACTCTGATAATCTCTCACTGCAGCCATGGCTGCTTCCATCATCAGCAATTTGAGCTTTTCCTTTTTAAATCTAATTTTAGCATTTGCTTTTTAACAACAGCAGTTTTGGAAACAATCCTGGCTGGGTTTTGGTGACTAACTTGTGATTCTTCTCTCCTTTCCCTGTGCGGTACCTGGTGCCAGGCTCTGGGTTCTTTCCCGTTCTCTCCCGAGAGACTCCAAGGGAAAATTAGCGCATCAAGACTGTAACTAGTGAAATTTGTACAACCAAAGAAATCTATTTTGTGGTTCAAGGATAATAAAGTTTACTTTACATTTTAGAGCCTTTAGTCACTGTGGTTTGCTCTGTGTGAAGTCTGCAATTTTGGTACCAACACTTTGGTGGTGCAAAAATGCTTCTGATTTTCCTGCTTTTGGGAGCAGAAATTAATGCTCACCCAAATCAATGCCAGTTGTGAGAATATCAAAATTCAGAGATGGGAAAAAATCCAATATGAAACACAGTGATAGCAGCAGGATACCAGCAAGATCTTCAGCCTCTTGGCTTTCCTCACTTGACTCTGTTTAAAAAAAAACTCCAACACTATTTTGTTTACATTATTAAGTTTTTAAAAATATAGTTTGACTGGTAAAAACTGACCCCATTTCCTGTAGCCCAAACAGGTTTTCCTTGGTCTGGCTTAGTGGATGGGCACCATGCTGTGCCAGCCCAGGGAAAGAGGTGCAGCCTCAGCAGGGAGAGGGTGGAATTCCTTTTCCTAGAGCCAGGGTAGTGCCAGACCTCAGCCTCATTCTCCCACCTGTGCAACAGGTACAGCTGGAGAAGGGGCCTTGGCTGCGCCCTGTGGCACCTCAGGAACAGCCTTGTCCTAGGTCAGCATGGGGGGTTCAGGATCTGAAGTGCAGCCTTACACAGGCTCAATACACTGGTCCTTTCCTGGGTTTAAAGTATCTGTTTTCTCCACATTTAGTTTCCTTGGGCCAAGTTTACTACCAGGTTTATCATCTCCTTGTCCAAATAATTTACACAACTGAACCCCGAGTAGCACATGGGCAGTAGTTACCCCATCAGACAAAAGTAAACACAGGAACTTGATCAGTGGAGGTAACTTTTTTAGGGTTTTTATTTAGGAATATTTATTTAGGGATTATTCACATAGGATTGGAACTAGGTGGTCTTTAAGGTCCCTTCCAACCCCAACCATGCAACGATTCTATGATTTTGTTATAAATAGGAATAGAAATAACACGGTTAAATATACAGGGAGGATGCAAAGATCTTCAAGGTTGCACAGAGACAGAGCACAACTGGCTGGGTGGAAGGTTTACAAGAAAGACTCTTACAGCTGAATGTCTTGTGTAGCAGCAGTGACTCACAGACGTGCTCTGGGAGTTGGAGGGAAAGGGAATGTCGTATCAGGACACAGCTCTAGGTGTGAACCTGCATAGCCTGCCCCTCAGGTCCTGCTAAATGCAAGTTTTCTTGGTTTCAGGAGTCAATCCCGTCTGGTATTGGTGCACAAGGTGAGGGATTCCCGTGCTCCTTCCCTGCATTTCCCTCCATATATAACAGCAGGCAGGTGTCTGGAATACCAATAGGATTCTCTTTAAGGACTGTCTGCTGACAGAGAGAAGGGGCTGTCATGGAAGCTGCAAACCACAAATTTAGCTGTGTGGAGTCATCTCTGTGGAACCTGCCCCTTGGAATACCTGGGATAACCGGAGGGTGGAGAACGCTGGCTTCCAGCCTTGTCCTCCTGCCACCAGCTGCTTCTGGAAACAAATGGCTGGAGGAGATAAAGCTGTGCTTGTAATTCAGTGCCACTTCTGCTGCTGGTACGTGTGGTTTTGGTTGACTCTGTGCTTACAGTCACCATTAGTGACACCATGAAAGACCTCAAAGCCAGAGTAGTGCAGGATCCCCCCCACGCCACAGCCATCACCACAGGAGTTTGGTTTGCCCATCTTATTAGGGCCTTGGGCAAAGCCACCTCACTGGCCTCCAGGTCCATGTGTCCTACTGAATCATGTCTTGACACCGCAGGAAAGAGCTTATCCAGATGGGAACAGCCCATAGCTGACTGCACCTGGACACAGAGCAGGTCTGTCCTGCTATGAAAAATGAACCACACATCTAAACCAAAACACACACTAAAGCCTGTTGCAAAGTCTGTACCAGCCCCCAGAGAGCCTTCCTGACTTATGGAGACCCAGCATCCCACAGCCCTTTCTGTAAGGACAAAGTAAATATCCCCTCCCCACCACAAAGGGCTGATTCCTTGTTTTCTGCAGCCAGACACCACCTGCCCCCACCCCAACCTCATTCCCCTCCTTTGAGTCTTCCTCTGCTTTTCCTTTTACCCCATGAGGTGACCAAGGCACAAGCTGCTTTCACACCTTGTACCAAAGGGAGTAATTAAAGCATTACTGAAATCAGCCTATTTCACTCGGAAGTGAAAGCAGGCTACAAATAAGTGCTCAGATAACTGGCATCTGTATCTTATCTGCTGGGAAGGCAGGCTCATGGAGGTTCCTTTTCTGGCCATCCCAGTGGTCTTCTCCATATCAGTAATATTGTGACATCTTCTCACTATATACAGATTAAATGACTCCAAACTCACTGTCCATTCCATGGAGTTTGTCTCCAGCAGCACATCATCCCTGTCCTAATCACATCTCTCCATGCAGAAACTAGAATTCCATATTCCATACAAAACAGCTGCAATGAGGGTAAACTTGGAGCTCTATTGCAACCCCATATTGCACTCCTGCTCTGGCAGCTGCACCTAAATATGAACTGACATTGACTGTAACTTCACTATTCCCCCCCCAAGAGAAACAACTGGCCTTTAATTACATCCTCCCCTTTGGTCCCAGTTTTGCTCATTCATATCTAAATCTAGTCCTTCCAGTTGGGTTCCCTGCTCACCTGCCTTTCCATGGTGTCACTGATATGGTGACCTGAGAACTGTTGTCCTATTCTGCCCCACAAGGTCCCTGGCACCCAGTTATCTGCAGCATCCCTCCTCCGTCCCTCACGGGGTTTCCCCTGAACTCCCATGGAATCCAGCCACTCCTCCAACCCTATTTGAGCTTTTCTCAGTTTCTCACCCTGGTACCTGCACATCTGGCAATTCCTCATGTCATGTCCAGTGCTGTCTCTTGTCCTGATGTCTCAGCCCCTGTATGAGAAAATCAAATGGGTCTTTGATTGATTACTGGGGTTTCTTCTAAGACACAGATCTTACAATCATCAAATCACCTGCCCTTGTCCATAGTCCCTCTCCAGCTCTCTTGGAGCCCCTTTAGGCACTGGAAGGGGTTCTGAGATCTTCTCAGAGCCTTCTCTTCTTTGAACAAGGGCTGGAGTGACAGGACAAGAGGGAATGGATTCCCACTGCCAGAGGGCAGGCTTAGATGGGATATTGGGAAGGAATTCCTGGCTGTGAGGATGGGGAGGCCCTGGCACAGGGTGCCCAGAGAAGCTGTGGCTGCCCCATCCCTGGAAGTGTTCCAGGCCAGGTTGGACAGGACTTGGAGCAACCTGGGCTAGTGGAAGGTGTCCCTGCCCATGGCAGGGGGTGGGACTGGATGGCTGTTAAGCTCCCTTCCCACCCAAACCATTCTATGGTTCCGTGATTCTGTGATTCTATGAATGACCCACTGAGAGCTGAATTTCCCTTCATTAACTCCAAAATACATATTATTGTTTATGCCCTCACACATGCTAATGAAGCAAAAGCTGCACATGCTTCACATGTGCGACTAAAGTTGCTCAAACTCCACCTAAATATGAATTGACATAGACTGTAACTTTACTCAGAGAAAACACTACAAATACAGCTTAAGTGGTGAGAGAGGTAAGAGGTGACTCCAGCTTTGGATCCTGGGACAGTCACAGAATCAGAGAATCATGATTCCATGATTCACTGCCTGTAAATCACTCTAGATAGTGGTAGGAGACACCTGTCTCACCTGGCGACACCTGAACTGGGCACAGGGACAGTCCCAGTGCTGCTGTCAGAAGAAATTTTTAAAATTTTATTACAAAGTGGTCCCTCACTCTAACCCCAGGCAGAGGGGATGGAAACATAGGACACACAGACTCCTTCAATACTGGTTGAACCTTTTCCAACAGATCTCCACTTCTGAAAAAAACCCTCAGTAACCTTAGCACAGACACTGGAGAAAAGTTCTGGATCTTACAAGACTCTCAGCTGCTTCACCCCGTTTTTGCTGTATGAGCAACTGCTGCACACTACGAGATCCAGCTGAGAAGGATTTACTCGGGGTATCCAAAGTGCTGCTTGGGGTCCCTGCAGGAGGCCAGTACAAATAAGTGTGGGCTGGCACAACTTCACATACCCATTTTTCCACTCTCCAAGGACAGGCAGAAGCAAATAAACACCTCCTGCCATTTCCAATGGAAGAAACAACATTTACAGCAGTCAAAGTTATTTAATTTCACTCACTTTGAAAGAAAGAAAAAAAACTCAACCAAACAGAAACATGAGTTTTAGAGGGTCTTTAGTGGACAATGACATTCCCAGGGCACAGGCATGGCAACAAACGGACATTCCCATATGGATTGGTGGAAATGTATTGGTGTCCTCACCTCACCAATTCCCAAATATTATGAATGTATCCACATCATAATGACAGGAAAGAAGCATCACTGAATTAATGGACTGGGCAATCGTTATCTGGCCAAAGCAACCTCAGAACTACAGAACTTTCTTTTGGGAGAAATGGGACAGCTGTGGGTGGTAACATTTCCCAGAACAGGTTCACAGAATCTCAGAATGCTTTGGGTTGGAGGGACCTTAAAGGTCACCCAGTCCCACCTCCTGCCATGGGCAGGGACACCTTCCACTAGCCCAGGTTGCTCCAAGCCCCATCTGACCTGGCCTTGGACACTTCCAAGGACAGGGCTGCCACAGCCTCTCTGGGCAGAGGGCAAAGTCCTGTTAACCAGCTGATAAGCAGCTCCATTCCCTCATGTGATGAGCTCTCCCAGTGAGGGGGACTGAGTGAGCCAGCAGACGATTTTTTTAATTTTAGCAAAGCTTTGGACCCTGTCTCTCCCCGGATCCTTCTGGACAAGGTGCCCAGGGCAGAGCTGGACCATCCATCCTACATGGAGTGAGCAGCTGCTCGACGGGCCAGGCTCGGGGTCACAGTGCATGGGGTGACTTCAGGCTGGTGGCCGTCACGGCGGGGGGGCCGGGGTCCATTTCAGGCCCAGCTCGTAAATGTCTTCATGGTCTGGATGCAGAAATCGACGTTCATTAACTGAGTCGGCCGATGATCCTGAATTAGGAG